AAATTTTTAAGGGTTTTTAAAAAACCCCATTCTATCATTAATACTGAAAAAGTTCTTATTGTAACTTTAGAAGAAAATGATGAGAGAGGTACAATTAATCCCTTGGGATTAATTATCTAGCCTGCTGCAGAAAATTTAGTAGGCTTCTCTTTATCTGTCACTTTAAGATTAATGAAAACCTTTGTCTGCAACTGCTGTTTGTTTGAAGTTAAGGCCAAGCCTTCGTGATATTTGCATTCATTGAAGGCTGGCATTTTATATAACACAAGATTCATAATTGTTTAAATATAAATTCAATGTTAAGTTGTTCTTTACTGCCTAATGTAAATACAAGAATATTATTTTCAGGTTTTTGAATATTCGGGAATTATGTTGAAATTTTTAAGAATACAGTTGCTGTTGCTTTTTCTTTGTACATTTATTAATCATTCTGTAAGCTGCACCCTTTTTATTCTACCCCATGGCGGGGCCCTTGCTGACTGGTCAGTTTTCTAGTTTCAGTTCTATGAATTAATAAAGAGCAGGAAAAAATAAAGATTTTTTTAAATCGGCCATTATTGATTTCTGACGAAAAACCTGCACTATTTCTCCTGACACTTCTTAAGGAAGAGTAACCTTCAAAGAAAGATAACTCTGAAATATATGTCACTGTTTCTTTTCATGACCAAAAATTGTTTTTTCACAATTTTTTTTCAAGGATTTCATTTATACATCTTATATCTTCTTTTTTTTTTACATTGTCATCATTACATTTGTTTAAACGATCATTATATTTAAATCAGTGGAGGTCCAAATTTCTTTCGTGGTACGGATAGACCCGAAGTTTTATGTATTTTTTACGGGGTTAAAATGTCATGGTTATAAGGAAATTCTAAAATTTTGTTTCATTTTCTTTAAAAACCTTGAGAACACAGTGAAATTTGGAAAACCCATGAAAATTCGTAAGTATACAATAACTTAGTTTCTACTTTCTTAAGAATTGCACAGCAATCACATATATTGATCACAATTTAGAAATAAATTTTATTCCAAGGAACTAGATGCTAAACTGATTTTCTACTTCCATTAGAATTGCACAGAAATTCTTCACCTGAGGGAACAGAATTTTGCCTGACGGGCATGTGGACAGAAACAGTGTGGGACAGTTTAGTTTCAGGTCGGTTGTGATTGTCCACTATAAGATTTGGGGTATCACATTGTGACGTATCACTTGTGTCTTGTCTTATAGAATTTCCTAATGAGTTGCCAGCAAATTGCTGAATACCATTGTTTGATACTTTCACTAATTTATTATCACAAAGCAAGTCTTCATGTAGTTCCACTGTGTTTTCATCCTCATTTTTACGAATAAGGAAGGAGTTCACAGTGCTCCGTTTCCGCAGATTCATTTTGGAAAAGCACGTTCATGTGTACATCTCTTGTTAAAGAGTACATTTCACTTACAACACTGTTATCACCCAGAAGTGGAGCGGACACGTTTCTGTGTATGCCGGTTGTAGATTGGTTGGAGTTGCAATCTGTTAAGAGAAATTTAATGGTATTCTCCGTCGACCTCCTTTTGGAATGGAAGGCGATTCTGGATTGGTTGTAAATTTCCTCTTTCACTTTCTCCTGGTAGAACTTCGAACATCGGGACAGAAGTCGGAAGTACCCGTTCTGCACATCCTTGAGTCGCACAGCTGTGATTGGATCAGTGAGAGAGTTCACAAGTAAGAGTGCGTAGAGGTACTTATTGGCACGAATCAGAGTCGTGAAGAGTTCTTTCACTGTTTCAGTATTTATGTGGACTTGAATGATCATGGCTATTTGAAATGTCATGCTGGGAAGCCAACACACTACGAATGTTCCAATGATAAGAAGAGTGGTACGCAGGGCCTTCTTGTTGTGGAGTCCGTCTTTGAGGAGCATGACACATTTTGCGTTAATTTGCTTCACTTCTCGATATATCCGTATGTAGATAAACAATATAGAAATGAGACAGATTATGGCCATAATTATTACTATATATTCTGCCTGGTATTCGGAATATAGTGTATACTCACAAAAATTCACAAAATCGTCTTCATCCGTCTTTCCAAATCCAGCCAGAAAATTTGAGAAGCCACCAATGAATGCTGTGACCCACAAAACGGTGATCATGATATTCCCGCGGAAATTATTCATGATGTGGTAGTAGTGGAGAGGTTGCAGGACGGAAATGTAGTGATCCAATGCCATCGCAAAGAGATTAAACAAAGAAATCAGATGTGCCGTTATGTTAATGGAGTTCACAAATTGGAACATGCATGCGGAAGTCAGTCTTTCCGATAAATTATCTAGGGTAGGTGGAATAATAGGTGCCACAACCACCTTAATAAGAATATGCATAAAGACGCTCAGTGTGACTAGGATATCGGATACGGCTAAACTAATGATGAGTTTGGAATGATTTGTCAGTCCATGGGGTATGTGGGCGGTGGCTGCAATGGAGATAGCGTTCACAGCCAGGGCCAAGAAGCACAAGATCAGAGTGATGATGTTCTCTGGTTTGGTGAAAATGTCGTCTGCTCGTTCGTGAATGTTTTGAGGCTGAAGGTTGGCCCAGGTGGTGGAGTTGATGATGTTGACAAAGTTGGCATACAGGCCGGTGGTGTTGATGTTGTAAGGGATTACGGCTGATGTGTTGAGAGTCGTTGGTAGCTTATCCAGATCAAATGGAAACAGAAGAGGGGGGTCCATGGTATTCAGTCAATTTCGGCTGTTTTTGTCAAATGCTGAAAAAAAATGTAAAATTTAATTGATAAGAAAAAATGTAAAAATTTAATTGATAAGAAAAAAAATTTAGCATATAATACATCAAAATATGTAAAAGTCATATTTTCCCCAAGGGAATATCAACTTGCACATTTGACAAACAAATGCAATGATTGGAAGAATTTGGACAATAGCTAAATTAATTTTCATAAGTCATATACCTCTCGCAGCAAACTAAGAACAATCCTTAATTTTTATGTCACCTGCCAAGCAAAGCAACACTTTGAAATCATTTAACCAGTATCTATCTGACTGTTTAGCCTTCTTTCTGTCTTACTTTCTGTACAGAGAACTATGGCTTTTGTAATATTTAATGGTTACCAACCTCAAGACCTTCAACCTTGACCTTTGACCTACATCTCAAAATAGTTAATTATGCTGATGTTATGTATGTTTTTGGGCATTTTGAGGTAAAACTTATGTGTAATTTAGAATGTTCACTGTTTTTCCTATGCCATTTTAAGGTCAGACGAGACGTTCCTCAATATCTGTTTTGTATATCTTCGTAATGTATGAAAAATATTCAAAATTTTAATTACATTCTGATTTCTAAACCAGTTTCTAAACGTCTTTAAAAAATCCAAACACTTAACATTTGAAATTGGAAAATTATTTTTCTTCCCCAAAGGATTATTTAAGAAAAACTACCCCTGGTATCTTACAGAAATGCCTGGTAAGGTACCTCAATTTTTTGTGAGTAAACATGCATGTTTAAGTAGCAATACTTCAATGACAAACTCTTGGAAAATTTTATATATTAATTATTAAGGAAGGTCTTGTCTGTCCTTAAAAAAATAAAGTGTTACTGTGTAGCAGATCACATGACCATCTTTTCTGAAAAACATTAAATCTTTAGTACATATAGCTCTGAATTTTGAGATGCGTGTCTAATTAATGGGCATCATAGATATAGCATGTGGAATACACATTGAGACCTAAATACACTTTCAATACACTAGGAAAACTGATTTTGTGACTAACAGACAGATGGACTGACAAGCAAAATTTAATGTCCTTTTGTTTTGCAAAAGTAGGGGTCAATTAACATAGTAAGAGATTTGAAAAGAAAAATCAATAATAAAGTAAATCAGAACTTACTGTCATATCTTTTAACAAGCATTCAGAAAATTTTGTAAAACTTAAGGCTTAAATTTAAAGTGGATAAAAAAAATTATGTGCTTTTAACTGAGATGAGATAAAAGAGATTCGAATAAATTTGTTACGGTATTATTAATTGTCACACAAATTTATAAAAAGAAAAAAAAAATATGTGGCAGCCTGAAGAATTTTTCATATCATTTCTATCTATTATCTTTTGAAAGAACTTGTGAACTCAAAACTGCATGGGTTTTAATTTTTGATGGTAAAAAATAACAAATATGTTTATTTCATGTAAATACATTAAATAAATTGTATAAAATTTTTTATGAATTGGTCTTTTATTAGATGTTTTAAAAAAAGGTCCTGTATTATGGTTGATAAGGAGAATTTTTTAAATTTTAATTATTTAAATGATTTTTTTTTTTTTGAAAAAGAATCTCTAATATATTCAATAAATGTAAAATGTAAAATCAAGAAATAAGATGGGAAAAAAAACATGAAGAAAAAAATGCTGAAACATGCATTATAAAGTTCGAGGCAGCTGTTCATTCATGTATATACATGAAGCGACCAGTTTAACAAGAGGGCACAAGATCCCAGATATTGGACAACTGAACAATGAATCGTCTTGACATATTTTTATTTTTTTTTAATTTAAAGATGTTAAAACTATTTCCTACCAGAGCGATACCATCTCTATGTTCCATAAAATGTAATCCTTTTTCTCCAAATTTGATTTCATGAGGTCATGCATGTAATTTTCTTGTTTCTATAATTATCAGACACTGTCCATCACAAGAAACCATGGTAATGGTAGATTAATAAAATGCCCCTGTGCTATTATTTTCAACCTGGGCTCACTATTAAGTCCATGATGACCGAGAATAACTTTATACAGATATTTATTTGATAAAAAAAAAATAACATTACTGGATGGTTTATGTTAAGCATGGGCAGGGTTAATGTGTCCGAAAATACCATCAGCCCAAGGCTTGTGTCCATATTAAGTAAACATCACTGACCCCCTGACTGACCCCTCAACAGCCTGGAACGGTTATAAATCTATATATAACATGATTACCAGAAACCATCATTTCACAGTCAACCAAAGGACAGAGCTGTCTAATAGACAAATTTTAACCCGCCTCCTACGTATGTGTAGCGTTTTTTTTTTGTTTTAAACTGGACTGGTTCATCAACTGATTCAAGGTCATTTTGACAAGGTGAAGGTTTTTGGAAAACATTTATTTTATAAGGAATGTGTTTAATTTTTTGTGTGAGTTATTGGTGTGTAAATCACAAAAAACTTGACACGTAGGCATGTTTCATAAAGAGCTTCTCTTAAAAGAAAGGGTTTTGCTTCATAAAAAACTAAGTCTAAAAAAAGATTTTTGTGTATGAATCTGACAAACTTGCTTAGTGATTAATATGTCACTATTTTGTAAGGGGTACAACAAATCTATTTTTAGATGCATATATATTTCTATAAGAATAATGACATTATTTGGGATTTTCATACTAGCTTTTGGCTACTTATATAAGCCCTCTTAAACATATACATCCTTTACCTTGAAAGTATACATAGGGTTATTTTTGTCCTGTGTTATTTTTACCCCTTTAACACTTGCAAACAATTTTGCCCAGTTTTAAATTCGCTTAGTCATAGTTTTGTTTTATGAAGAAATTTATAATACTGTATTCTTTGAATTTGTCCCGTGTTAAATTTGCCCCCATTAAAGTTGGGGCGAAAGGGACAATGGAATGCAAGTGAAAATTTCCTGTGTACAGTTGTAAATTTTTGGAAAACTTTTTCAAGATCAATTTATATATGTGTTGAAACCTCCTATACATTTCATTTCAATAAAAAAGAGTCAAATCTACCATAAAACATGCTCATGAAAATAAATTATAACTGCATGCATATGCAGGAGATTTGTCAGCACTGTTCTTAGAGGACAAATATTTGGCCCCATTTCCAGTGGAAAATGGGCTTCATTTTTACAATGTTTTAATAAAATTAAAAAATTGAAATTTTTTTTTTTTATTTTTATGACTTTCATCGAAGAAAAGAAGGCATAATGCTTTGCTGCCTGTCGGTCAGTCGGTTGGTTTGTCTGTCGGTCTACTAACAGTTTCCATTCATTTTCTTCACAGAGGACAGAGTTTGACAGAGTTATGCCCCTTGGACTTAGAAAAATTAATTGCAGTTTGCTGTTTTTCTTTGAAGATTGAGGTTGCACGAACTGAAATGAAATTGGTATACAAGATTTATTATAAGAATATCTAGGTCAGGTTCTGTTTTGGATATGATCAAGCAATTTTTGACAGAGTTATGCTCCTTGAACTTGGAAATATTCCAATTAATTGCAGATTCCATTCATTTTCTTTGTAGAGGTTGCACATACCAAAATGAAATTTGGTAAACAGATTTATCATATTAAAAATATCTAGGTCAGGTTCTGTTTTGGCTATGATCAAGCAATTAGGTAGGTGAGAAAAATATTTTTTCTTAGAAAATTTCAATTTCAATGTGAAATTTTTAAAAATGTACTTTCCAGAATACATTTAAAAAAATGGCTTCCTGGAGGTTAAAAAAAGTTGGGCATTTTTAGTCAGTCGGCCAGGAGAGGGCAACAAAACAATGTTTTTACAGATGGCCTTGGTGACAAAATATGTACTTATTGTTTGGGCAAAATTGTGAAACAAATTTTGGAATTTTGCCACATACATTTTTTAATGTTAAATTATAAGTATTTTTTCTCCTGTAATTTTATCTACATGAAATTATATATTGAACGTATTCATATTTTATACCACATATGATAAACTCGTAAATTCTACTGATATAATTACAAGTATAATATACCTGCCTAAGTTGTTATTCTAATCAAAGGAAATTATTAATTATAAAAGTGCATTGCGGTAGTGTTTCCTTGATTGCCGTAATATATTAGCTCCGAGGTCCATAATTATGAGAGAAAAAATAGCAACATAAGTACGTAAATAGTTAAAGTAAATAAACTGGGCTATTGGTGTTTCTTTCTGATGTAAGGGACATAAATCTGTCCATCTTCGTCTGACATCGGGCTTTATTTTATGTCTCCGTGTTTATTTTTGCTCAAGGATGTAGTCCAATGTATTCTGAAGTTGTTTTATGCTCTTTCTAAAAACTGACACTTTCAGTGATCCTATCAAATAAACAAATAATCTGGCCTTGCTTGGTCATAATGACTAATTTGGAATCTTTCTCTGAGAAATATGAAGCATAATGGTATAAGAGTCACTATATTTTCCGGAGTGTATACCTCTATTTTTGGGACCTATATATGGTCTTAATATTGAATATTTTGAGTAATATGTTTCATGGTGATCAATTAGGACATTTTTTATTAAATATTTTTGTATATATAATTCTCCCTAAGTATATATTTTTATGGTGCAGTTAATGGGATTATTAAGTGACAAAAAATTGCACAGATTAATGGGATGGTTGCAGAAAGATTGAATTTTGAACATCATTGAAAGTTTACAAATTCTTAATATTTTAGAAATTTATTAGGCTCATCATTTACAACCATTTGAAAGTTTACAAATTCCATACATGTTAACTCTACCGATTTAGGCGGGAGTCTACCGCTTTTTTACTCCATCTCCCGCCTACCGATTTTATGTGTAAATCTACCGCTTTTCTATCAAAAGTATTTTTGGATCGCTTGGGTATCCATTTTTGAAGCCACTCGTCAAGAAATCTCGTTAGATATCGCGTGATTTGACCCGGAATCATACAAACGCTTTTTTTGTATCGATGTGTACATAGATTTCAAGCATGTATTTGACAACGACAAC